AAAAAGGTAAGGAAGAAAGAAAAAAGGATCAGATGGTACCTTCCATATGAGATCTCTGAGTTCTGGTCTTCCAAACCAAAGCTTCCACAACCAATCTCGCATTTCTCGCTGTCCTATACTGCTTCCAGAACACCACAGAGAAGTATAGTGGTCTCTCTCCTTATCCAAAAACAGAGCTAAGAAATCTATACTGTAAGAGTATTCTAAATTACTAAAACGATCACTTTTATGTATGTCATTACTACCATCGCCAGAGTTTACTGGTGACTCGAATATCCTGATACTCCTCTCTTTCCTATCCAGGTCAGAGTAGCTCAAACTATTTTCACTAAACATGGCATTATTCCTAATAGCCTCGATGTCATCATCATCAATAGCAAGCCAACCCGCACGGCAGACACCTTTATGACGGTAACCAGGAGCCATGTCCAGACACACAAACTCAAAGTTTTTGAAGTTAACAAAATTTTGTGTGACAGCAATAGTAGTTTCCAAATTTAGCACACAATGCCACCACCCACTTGGAACATATATTGTCTCGCCAGGAAGTTGGGTACACTCTATTGGTTTGTCATTATCACCAAGAAGAGGGTAGAAATCCAGCCACCACTGGAAAAAAGACAATGTTAGGGAGCCATAATGCTAAAATACCTTGCCAAATTGGAACAAAAAGAAAAAGAAAAAGAAAGAAGAAAGAGAAAAACAAAAAGGCTAAAATAATGTAAGATTTTTTTACAAAGCAATACCTGCAAAGATGATGGTGTATCAATATTGACATCACCATCGTCATCATTCACACGTACTGTCACTCCTAAAGGAACTCTTCCAGGAGGATACAATGCCCACCTATTGAAAAAACGATATCAAACACAAAGCACGAAGGTAACGCCACTGGAGGGGGGGTGGACAGATATTCTCATATTCTTTTGTATATAATTTTTTATAAAATCTCTTCTATTTTGATCTTCTTGTAGACCCTCATAATAACTTTTTGTAAGGAATGTTGGCTTTGGGTTGTCCAAGTCTGAAACCAAGAGGATATATTTTCTGTCCCATACTATCCCACTACTAGACACATCAAGATGTACCACAATTTGTCTTTTTCCGCAAGCGGTAAGAGCCTTGGCTCCTCCCATTGCTTAGGATATTATGGTTTCACGTCCTATTGCACTCCCCGATGGGGGTTCTTTTCACTCTTCCCTCACGTTACTACTTCGCTATCTATCACCCAAAAGTATTTGGACATACAAGGTGGTCCTCGTTAATTCACATTATCTGATTCCAAATTAAGAGCAACGGCTCTTGTACCCTCTTCAAATTCGATCTACTCACCCGCCATTACTTCATCGTCAATTAATGCAAACTCATATGCGATGTTTCAATTAGTGAAGATACTAAATTTATCACGACCTTGTTGAACTGGCATGTCATTTGAAAGCTTGAGTTGTTAAATAGATGAAGTTTATTGAATATTTAATTGCTCCAAAAGACATCCTCACAGATGCAGGTGATATTTTATTAAGCCTTGCACACAGAACATTTTCACATGGGTGCTTATCAACCATTATATAGGTTTCAAGGTGTAACAGAATATTGGCAGAGATTAGGGAAAAAATCCACTGGTTCTCCATAAGTCCACCACTTCAATTCTAAAGTCTCTTCGTTCACCTAGTTCTATCCACACTAAAACAATAACAAAGATATCCTCCATATCCTGAGTTCATAGAGTGTGAGTCAAATCAGTTCAAGAAAAACGTTATGCAAGTTGCTGCTGATGGAAAGAAGAGCATCAAAAGCATTTAATTTATTTTCTTTTAGATAACTTTGATTTGAGTTCTAAATGAATACTGTTCATTGCCACTTTCATGGATATTTAGTCTAGAATTACTAGGCACTATCCGAATTAAAGCTATTTTGAAACGACTTTCCATTCATTTCAATTGAAGTCGAGACAAGATTACTTTTCACATTTATCTACTTAGAGCCATAGAGTATTCCTCTCATGTTTGGTATGATCATGCATTCATGCTTGACAAAAGGATGATTTGTCGTTCTTCCCCTTCTACACCTTTGCAGCATCTCTCTGTTCTGTCAAAAAGTAACAACATCCTGAATGTTGCTTGAATAAATATGATTTATCTGAATGTTCAAAAGAACTGCCATAGTTTGTATTTCATTACATAACATACTAATTATAATCGATATCCTCTATTTTCAATGGTTATTTCATTCTTGTGTTTTCTCATGAGTCATGAAGAGTAATTGTCTCTACTAATGTTTTTGGTATGGCATATTACGTACATTAACTTGTGGCTCGAATGGAAATAATTAGGATTCCGAAGTATTAAAACTTTATCAACCTACCAATCATATTTAGAAATTTGTATATAATAAAAACCATTGACCAATTCATTAACTTAACTCAAAACACACACACACACACACACGTTGACTATGCTCTGCTAAAAATACATAATAAATCCATAATTTACGAAAAATACTACTTAGAGTATAGTATCTAAGTATAATGAAATATGAGTTTGCATTTATGATAAACAAATTTCATGTCAGTAAAACATGTCTGGTTCATGTATAATATACATAGATACATGTACCCATGCCCATGTATGTAGAGACAAACACAACTGTACTTGTTCAACTACACTACATTATTGATATTATCGAACAAAACATGCATTCTATCGCAGCCATGAGTATTTCTAAGAACAATAAACCAGTTAAGTACTCCCTACATTCCTCAACCCTATCATATTATATGATGATACTTCATATTTACATGTATATGATATGAGATCAAATTATATGGCATACACATACATAGGAAAAAGTTTGCTACATTACCTTTTACGGCCACAGAGGAGTGTATTCCATGCACTAGTAAGACCTGGATCAACGTGCCATGAGGCCCCTGATCTCTCTGGTCCAATTATAAGCCATCTAAAAGGTGGTTTTTTATCCATCTCCAGAACATCAAAATAGTCTTCTTGGAATAGATGTGGAACACTGTAATCTTTCAACAAGTCTGGTGCGACTTCACCAAACTGAAGTAATAAAATCTCAGTGTTCTATAGCATAGAGTGCAAAATCTGAATTTAATTATTAGTGAAACATGAGACCTTGTCATCAAAAATATAGAGAGGATCTTCATCGTGTTGGAGTTGCATGTATGAAACATAATCTTTAAACTTGATATTAACTTTTTTCGGGCTCCTATGTGATATTCTAAACTTAGTATCTGAATATTTCATTAAAAGTTGTTCAGTTGTCCATGATTTCCTTGCTGGCCAATTATCAGAGAGTCCATCAATCAACACCTGTCATAAAAATTACAAAAGCCAAATCATAAATAATTGACATCATTTTTCATAAATGTAAATTATTTGTAGCATGGTTGTACTAGTAATTCATGGGGGGAAACAATATAAATTTCTTTAAATGTCTAAACTATGCAACAGGAAGTATTACAATACACCTCGTATCTTACATGTATAGTTTTGGTTTCTTTACTATTAAACTGTGTTAGAAGTTATGTTTGTCCACATCGATTAGTTACTGGGCTGTTATTGTATAAGTGTGGGTTGGGCATCCCATTCCTTTGTGCTAGCTTTTGGAGATGAGCTCTACGCAAGCAAATTTATCATGATATGAGAGAACCCACCCAAGTTTGTTTGTTTGGAGGCGATGTTGGGTTTGGACCCAGCCCATTTCGTTTACCACGGTGCACGTGAGGTCTCGTGTTAGAAGTTATATTTGTCCTACATCAGTAAATTAGTTACGGGTCTATAATTGTGTATAAGTGTGGGTTGGGCACCCTCTTCCTCTGAACTAGCTTATGGAGATGAGTTCTACTTCTACCCTAGCCAATTTATCAATCTGAAAGTGAAACTCTACTATCACAAGCTATGTGATAACAACAACTCTCAATTATAGCTTTGTGCCTTTGACAGTAGCACTTAAATGCTCAGAGTTTGTGCTTGTGAATATTATTTTTCAAGCATTTCCTCTCATCACTTCTTAAGAGAAACCATGCTTTCTCAAGAGCTTCTCCCTGGGAAAGACTTCAAATAAATAGTTCTTTTTGTCCATCAAATTTAATATGTCAGGATAAGGAGCCCTTAAGAGAAAAATCTTTTAACAGAAAGTTCCTGGTTTTCCTCCGAAGAACAGTGACCTTACTATTGTTCACAATAAATTATATCATACTTTGATTCACATGTTCTCTTTTTTTTACAGCTCCTCCTCAACCATATCCTGCCTGCATATAGCATCTGCCTCAATGGATAAGTCCACCAATGCTGGACAAAAGGTCAGCTAGGGTCTCCATAACCGCCAATATGCGTATGCTCATTTTTGCCAAATCAGTGTACGTGTTGCGTTTGAAAGAATTTCGTGGGTTTAATCTTTTAATTAGGCAATGTGGTCATATAAGGGTAATAAAGGCTACTGAAACAACTAGATAGTAGGTGCACCAACCAGGAGATTAGTTTTCTACTTAACGCAACACACACATTTTAATTCACAATGTTAAGCACACTTTTCATTCAAACATAAAAATAAATATCCCAGAAAAATAATAGATTACTCGAACAAATTTCAAAACCAATACCAGGGGAAGAAGGGAGTAGACAAACCCATCAACTTCCATCACTACACTTTACTTCATATTCTCAACGTTTACATCTTATTTTCTATAAAAACTAGTCGTACTTTTTCCTACGAAGAAAAAATGACTGAATGAAACACCATGTTATCACTGCCTCGTGACTCTCATCTTATGTGTTGTCAAGAAAAATATAACTATGTATCGAGAGTAATGGAGCAATAGTAAACGACCAAAACAGTTTTGAATTTAAATTTAACTATCCTCGATCATGTGTAACCTGTACACTAAGGAAGAACAAAGTTATGAGAACAAATAGAATTACTAAGTTGATTTCCTAACTCAGGTAAAATGCTAACATACCGGTTTTTTACCATCATACTCTTTCTGGAATTCTTCTGAAGATATGTTCTTTCTCCTATCGACATTTCCATCATCAAATGAGAAACTGTTTAATGAGGTATAACATCTGTACAACCTCCTATAGAGAAATAACGAACTAAAACCTGCATGAGTTGATATAAGATCCAAGTTAAATAAAGTTGGACAACCATGCAATAGTGTAGTAAATCCAGATAATTAAATACCTTCAAAAATCAAATCTTGACTGCAAGCTTCATAATACTTGTCGATCAATCCTAGTCTGAGAGGGGAAAAAAGGTATTAGATGGACTAAGATGAAAACGTCGAAACTCCTCCAGACATTAAATCAACCTACAAAATGTGCTATTAGGGAGGAGAAATCAACAAACATACTGGTGCAACGCAGTCTTCTTCCACGAGCCTTTGTACTCAAGCTCGCGATTTACAATGCTGAGACATATACTCATCCAAAGCGGCTCCTCATTGCATAATATATACATCACACTAAAAGATATGAAAACCAAATTAAAAGAAAGTGGTAGACATGGCACAGTGAACAATGCATGGAGCAGAAGATCTTTAATAGGCCATTAGCCACTAAAGACTAACGTTTAAAAACACAGTACTTCACAAGCTGAATGCAGCTAGCCTGCATAAGAATACTAACTGACACCAAGTGATACTTCTTATACAGTAATCTATAAACAATTAAGTTCTACAGTTTATTATCATTTACATACTTGTGATAGATGCTCAGGTTTCCTTTTTAGAAAGTTCAATACACTTGGCATATAGTAAATGTGAAAATAGAAATGGAATAACAAACACGCTGCTGCTAAACTTCTCCTGATTACAAAAATTTGCTCCATGAAACAAGTTTCAGTATTTGTTTCTCGGCTTAACACATTCATAGGTATGATGCGCAGAGCCATCAGCACAGGCCCGACTTTAATCTGCAAAACATAACTCTAAACTTAACAGCATGATTTAATAGGCTTTCCCCGAATTCAATCTTAATGGAAAATCCGTTGCCCCAAATTTGGATGACATCTCAACAAAGCCCTTAGGGACAATAACAATCAGCATTAACAATTTAGACACCAAGATTAAGCTAACAATAAACACATAAGAAATCCCTACCCCTCAGGCAATCGAAAGCCGAAGATGGATTAAGACGTATAGAAAAGAGGAGCAGAATTATATGACGGAGTGAGAATTAGACCTGCTAACGGAAGATAGGCGTCCTATATCTTGAGGCGCGAGCTTCGTCAATATGTCGCACAATGTTTCATCGGGAACAAGGTGGAGGTCACCAAGAGCAACCTTTCGACGATCATGGACCACGGAATGAAGCCGGACTGAACTCGACTGATCGCTGCAATAACCGAGATCGGACTCCATGAAAGCCAGCTCGATTCGAGGTTACAGCTCGAGATATCAAGCATCAACCATGCGTGGTAATTATGCTGTTGAGGAGATGATCTGATTCTTGTTCNATGCTTGATTCTTTTTTTAATTTTTTTTTCTTCTGCTTTCATTTCTCGAGGGGGGTGGTGGGCTAATTTCGGCGCCTTTAGTTCTTTAACCGCGGCGACAGCGCGTGGACGCGTGTTCACTCTTTCGCCAAAAATCACATTATTTATTTAATAAATATAGTAGAAATTTTTTAAGGGGCAACTTCCTATTAAATCCCTAAGAGCATGATTGGTATAAATGAATGGAATTAAGAAGGAATGAAATGAGCTATGGAAAGGAATGACAACTGGAATGGAAAGCCATAAGCATTTCCATACCTGCGATTGGTATTGGCAAGGATTGAAACACTTATTCCTGACTTGATACTATTGACATGATTGGTAATTAAAAATTAACTGTTGGCATCTGCAAATATATTTATTTATTTATTTATTTATATGAGTGTGTGTAATGTAAAAATTCCTTCACTATATCAACAAAATATGTTCAGTTTTAACAACAATTATCTACATTAATAAAAGAGTATAAATTATCTTTTTAAGAGAAATATATATTAATTTGTTGATTTATTTTCGTTGTGCATTAGAAATATGTACAAACATGTTAAGGAAAGTTAATACATATTTAAATTATTTTAATAAATAATCTTCTTAAATATAAAGATCATTCAAAATTTGCTACAATTTAACAAATTGAATATTAGAAAAAAAGTAAACTTGTAAGCATAAAATAATCTCAAAACGTAACAAAAATAAGCAAATGTACGAATGTATCATTCAACAAAAAATTCTAAAAGATAAAATAACTAGTGAAGATATTATAGGTCTGAAAATAAGAAAAAATAAAAATAGGTGATTTAAACTTGGTCACTTATGATGGCTCTAGCCAATTGCTCTCTTCCTTCTTCAGTCATGCTAAAAAACACGTCGGTTAACTCGGGCGATTGAGCGATACGACACACCACTTTAATAACATCTAGTACAGCTAGATCGGGAATTTTTCTTATCTCTGAATCAATCCTTTGTCTCTTTTCTGAAATTTCAGCATCAACTCCAATTGCTTTACCAAAAATTTCACTAGCTTTAGCAATTTCACTTCCAATAATCGAAGCTGCTTCCTTTATGTCTGTCATAGGCATCAAGTTATCAACACTTCTTTTTCTTTTCTTCCTCTTGTCAACTGTTGCAGATCTTGGGGACTGTAGTGGAGAAAATGAAGCATCTAAATCATCAAGACCAATTTCGGTTGTTGCTTCGACGTCATTACCAGCATTAAGATTGACATCTTCCCTTTCTATCTCTTCCATCATATCATTAGGACCTTCGGCATTTCCTCCAGTAGCACGATCTTTTCCAAAAATAATGACTAAGTCGTCATACATGGGGAAAGCCTTATTTTGCCAAATTCCATGGGTAGGATGACTCTGTGTCACAAGAAAAAAAAAAGAATAACTAATTGAGATTAACAAGATATATAGTTAATCAAATACTTCAGTTAAACTAACATACATATTTCTTGGGACACCAATAATAAAAATATCTTATGAGAATAACTGAATTGAATTATTATGCTATTGATGTATTACTATATGACTATATAATGTATACACAAAACATGTGAAATAAACATGAAATGAAAAAATGTAAAATCTGAAACCAAAGTCCATGATTACCCAAATTATGAGACCATGATACATGCTGAGACCATGATACATGAAGCTATATACTGATACATGAGACCATGACACATTACAAATTTTCTTAGCCATGAAAAAATAAAATGAAATAAAAAGCAATATACCATAATTTGACAGAAGCCAACAAACATATGTAGTTGTATAAGTACCTGTAAGTAAGAGTCCCATACGGCCTTTTCGGCTACGATGCATTTTTTTATCGGATTCATACCAAATCCACTTGTATTTGGACCATTTAACATATCATACACAATATTGAAATCTCTCTTCAATGTCTTAATTCTTGACTCAATATGTGGTTTAGCCTTGAAACCAGAGTTAGGCAATGAGACTCGCAACTTGTCCTCGACAAAGTTCAAGTAGCCAGGTTTGAACCCATTTTCAGCCTTATAGGTTCCAAGATTACCATATCAAGGAGTGCATCCACAAGCTTAGCATCTTCCTCATTATTCCATTTTCTTTTGTTCTTACCACGACCTCTTATTTCTTGAGGTTGATGATCCATGCTTTAGAAGGCAAACACAAATTGACCATAAAGATTATTAATAGAAAAATATCCATCACATGAATTAACAAATAATCCATTACATGAATTAATAAATAAAGAATCCAAAAGTTTGACACTAAAGATGTAATCAATACAAATTATACCACATACAGTGCAATATAAACATACTAACAATGTCGCACCCCGCCTTACTACTAGCTTTGAAAATCAGAGTAAAATTTTTGTTTTTATTTTCGAAAGAACGTGCGAGCTGGGTTTTCGAAAATACTGACTTATTGCGGGATGTGGCAGATAAAAACTTAAACTGAAACTTGGGCTTGCCCACAGACATAATAAAAAATGCAACCAAACTGTCCGCTCGCGGATTATGGAATTATACATGCATAGTCTGTACTATCTCGCACTGTCTAGAAGAACTCGCTGGCGGAAGCATCTGAAATACGAATACATAACATGCGTACATAAACTGAATAAAATACACATGATCACAAATCTAGGACATAAAAATGCTGGTAAAATATGTCCGACTTGTTAGAGTAGGGTACCCGGCGTTCCAATCTGATTGGACGTATTCTACTTGTAAATACAGTCTATTGGAATTATATTATGAATAAGGCATTTCTTTATCTTAAGAGAAAGCATTTATCTTATAAATACACTTAAGATAAAATCCCTAGATCACTTATGGTTATAAGGTATGGTTGCGCATAGAGATGGTGATCATGGAACATACCTTGAAAGCCGTGATCTTAAATACAGTTCCAAGTCGATGGATGTTTCGAGATGGGATATCGAATAATCCATAAAAGACTTGCACATAGTTTGTATGCTTGTTGGACAAGAATGTTGCATTCCATCAACATTAGCGTAAGACGTAAGTACATTTATGTGGGTGCTTGTTAGAGAACAAGTTCACTGAACATGACCGTATGAAAATTCTTAATGAAGAATTTATTCAGTCGAATAAGAATTTTCATGTTACAATAGTACATGACTAATCCTAAGACTTGAGGCACAATGGTAACTTTGTGCATATTACATTCTACTTTGATTTATCCTTTTGGTAGCTAGCACTATCGTTTAAAGGGATAAGTTGGGTATTATGTTGATATGTATGGAAGTTTGTTAGTGGCCAATAAAGGATTCGACACTTATGAAGATAAGTGAATTTCCTATGTGTTTCATAGTTATTAATCCAAAGTCCTTGGCCAAGGCAGAGATGAATAGTGATTCATAACCGGGTTAATAAACATGAAATAGAATCATAGTTATTAAGTCAATTTGGGTTTCGACAAAATCATACCCAAGACTTAATCGGGAAATTAGATGTCGAAAGGATTTTACATGTATGGAGTTGTAATCGGAATAGGTTTACTCGCTATTCACTTAATACTAGATTCATGCTACTTGCTAGGTGTTACCATGATATGTGGGTTCATAAATTAAAGGGTTAATTCATGAATAAGAGTTAATAAGATTTAACTCAAATTACAAAGTGTTGTAAACCCACTACTAGTATTAAGGTGAACCTAAAAGGTCACACTAATTATGAACAAAGGTAAAGATTGTATTTCTAATGGTTAGAATTAATTGATAAATATCTAATTTGATTAGATATCAATTAAAGGAATATATTAATCAATAAGATTGATTAATTACATTTTGGATATTACTTTAGTAATTAAGGTAATTACTAAATTAATAAAGTTGAATTTTAAAATAGGATTTTAAATTTCAAAAATCCAAAATAATAATAATATGATTATTATAATATTGGGAAAATGATATAATAATAAAGTCTTGAGAAAGATTCTCAAGATTTATTATCCAATTATTATTTATATCTTTAAATATGATTTAAGGATTAAAATAATAAATATGATTATAATAAAATGGTTGTTGATGGTTGTTTGAACTACTTAACATATCTTATTATTTTCAAAGTCAAAAGTTAGTAAATACTATTTAAATAAAATTTGATTTTATTTAATATTACTAAATGTTGATTATTTTATGCTAAAATGTTTAGTATAAATATGTGCAAAATGGTTTTGCATTTAAGTGAAGTTTTTGATCCTAAATTTCTAAGTGTTAGAAAGAGAAGAAAGTGTTCTTCATAAAACTTCAAGAAAGAGTTCTTAAAATTCCCAAATAAAATTCATAAATATTCCTATACAAGAAAACCGAGTCTTTTCTACTAGCGAAGGAAAGTCGTCGGAACCGGGCTTCATAGGGTGGATACGTTTAGAGGGAAGACACTTGGATTCCTCTAGCGAGTAACCTCAAGTCGTTGAAGTTACAACCGGGAACCGATTCCCTCATCCATCATCAATAGTGAAGGAGTTCAAGACATTCGGTAAATATTTTTACTAGTATTTACTTTATAGTAACAAATCAAAATTTGTATATGATGCATGTTTTAAAGATGACGATCAGTTAATTCGCAATTAGTATGTACGGGTGTTGTATTTATACGATAAATACTTACTTTAAAAATTTTAAATTCCGCTGCGTACAGCCCGTACGGTACTATCGAACCCAACAGTGGTATCAGAGCCACGGTTATCGTCTTTAAAACAGATTTTGATTTGTTAAGACTTATGAGATAAGCAATATAATTAATTTTTTATATGATAAAAATATTAATTATAAAATTAAAAATCGTTTTTAAGCCACACGAGTCGTGTGACCTTGTCACACGAGTCGTGTGGCATGAAGAAAAATTTTGATTTTAGCTTCGTGATTTTCACACGAGTCGTGTGACCTTGTCACACGAGTCGTGTGAGCTCACACGAGTCGTGTGACGAGCCACACGAGTCGTGTGAGTCTGGGAAAAATTTTGAT